AGTGCAGCCGGGGGTGCCCCGCCGCCGCGCCCCGCTCCACGCGGCGGACGAACTCGCCGAAGTTCGGGCCCCCCCCCCCTCCTCGTACAGCACCCCGATCGCGGAGTAGTAGTGGCGGGAGAGCTCCCGCGGGGTCTGCGCGGGGGGCACGTCGGGGAAGAACCGCTGGACCCCCCCGGAGTGGTTCGCCGCCGGGGAAAAGGACTCCATCGCCACGCCATCGTCGGAAGGGCTCACGGCGGCGCGGGCCGGGGAACCGCCCCCCCACAAACACGCCAACACGAACACAAGCAGAACCAACGAGGCATCAGGTCGCCCGAAATGCCTTTTCATCTAATTAGGATGCAAAGAATGTCAACAATGCCCACAATGAAGAGGCACTGCTGGTTGGAATAAATATAAACCAATCGATTTGAACCTCTTCTTTGCGATTTATTCGAAGAGAAACCCTTCTATGGGAACTCACTTATTTATAAGCAACAACTACCTGTTTGGTAAAATGGGCCTCTTTCCTTTGTCGCCAAAATATTTGGGGGATAAATCTACAAGCATAAAAGATTATGCTTGGTCCGTGACAGGGACAATGCATGGGTTTAAAGAAAGAAACGCATAAATAGAGAAAAGGTAATGAGTCGAAAAAGGCATTTCCATTAAAAAATAAAAGACACCTTTACAAGCAATAATTTCTAATCAAACACTCCGCATATTTTAGAATTGATTCACGGAGGTTTTAGTTTATTCTTATCTTTTTATTATTTCGGAGACGGGGGAAGGATAATATTGCCGTTGTTGCTACACTGCTCTGGGTTTGGTTATCTCGGAGGCTAAATTTGGATTCATCCAACACGACCTCTCCATCCCCTCATCATTTGATCACTTACGAGATTTAAAACGGAAGGAAAAAATTTAATTTAATGATAAAAATAGTATCAATAACCTTTAAAAGCTATACAGACGTAAATAATACAATAAGGAAAAATTGTATGGATATTTTATCTTGCTGCTTTTTGTCGTCCATACTAGTATATTAAGATATTATCTCAGGGGTATCCCTCCATGAAACAAGTATCACCCTGAAGAACTTCAGAAAAAGCGATTGAAATACGCATCTGTGAGGACGGAGTAGCAGTTCCAGAAGCTTCAAACCCTTCCCTCTTGTCAGCATGACCCTTTGTTTGGGCTCTCGAGGTTTCACTTATCCCCATAGAGTACTCTTTTGTCATGAACCGCTCCATAACATCGCGTTTAATCGGCAAACGAATCGCAATCTGTCCTGCCAAAAGCTCCTGTTCTGTGCTCTCGACGTACCCATACAATGATACCTGAAAGCCGTTGGGCAAGTTCGCTAAACTCACCACCTGCGTTGCCGAGGGGCCTGTCTCGTTCGGCCCATTGCTCACAACACCGCCCCCTCCCTTCCCCCCCACCCCCGCAGGAGAAGCAGGGGCGGGAAAAATGTTCACCGATGATAACTGAACCGCCACCACGGCGTGCTCAAGCCTCGCCGCGAGATTTTCCAGCAGCGGCCTCTCGAAGTCATTCGAAATGCACGAAGATGACGTGGTCGAAGAATAAGAACCGCCGTATAGGGGCTCGGCTGGCTCCTTCTCATCACGTTCCACCAAAACGATGCTATGTAAAGCGTGCAGTGGGGCCTTAAGAAGCATCGTGGCGGCTGCAGGATCGGGGTCCGGTATCGCATTGGCCTCTGATGTGGTTTCGCCTTGGCGCTTGGTGGTATTCTCGCCATTAACCGACTCGTAGTGCTCAATAAGGGGTTTAAAGTACGCCTGCCAAAGGGCCTCCCGGCCTGCTCTGCCGGAAGTGCGCTTTGTCCTATCTGCGTCTACATTGACGTCGCGTACCACACGAACAGTATGCACGATGCCCTTCCACAAGCTTTTCAATTTTTTAGAAGCGTCCTCACCGTTGGAGGTGAAAGTTTTGGCAAACGCACTTGGAAGCTTTCCTAAGAAGCCATTCTTCTCCGCTGATGCTGGAGTGCTGCGATTAGCACCGCCTCCCTTGCCGTAGGGATGATCCCCACCCTGTATAGATTGAACAATCACAGGATTCGGTCCTGCTGGTGTAGATGCCATAGCGCCGAGCTCGCGGCCGCGTGAAAAGCGGCGAACCAAAAAGCGATTTCCCACTACAGACCCATTAAGACCCTCCTTCGGATCCAACAAGGCGTCGGTGTCTTGCGCCCACGCATCCTCCTCTGGTTTCTTCAGGTGAACGATCACACGCGGTAGAAGCCGGCGTATCGCCTCGACAGTTGTGCGCCGTCCGGTGTGAAGCACCCATCCGTGAGTGTTCACCACGACCGGATGCCGCTCGGCAAGACCTCGCGCGAGCTCGCAAAGGTGCACGAGAGCCTGTGCGGTGCTTAACGGACAGGCCACATACGAACTGCTGAGAAAATACGCGCGAACAAGCTCTGCCGCGGCGGTGTCGTGCGGCCTCAGCAGCGGACGCCGCACACGGTACAAGGTTAGTTGCCCAGGAACCCCAAACTCCGGCTGCCCGAGGTCGAGATCGAGCCAAAAGCAGCGCCCGTGCAGGGAAAGTAGCGCATTCGCGAGGAATCGGCAAAGCGTGGACTTGCCGATGTTCGAAGAGCCCAGCACCATCACGCTCCCTCGCCCCTGTCGCACGACGTTCGGCACTACCTCCGGCAGCAGCGCCGCGTCGACCACCGCGGTGTGGTCGCCATGGCGTGAGAAAAAAGCCGGCACCTCGATGTAGGAGTCAGACGCAATACCCTGCTGAGAGGCATGCCGCGAACGCTCCTCTTCGGTCGCGGTTCGCAGCCACTCCTCCTCTAGACGGCGACTACGATGGGGTTTCTTCTTTTTACGCCCATTCCCGCTCACGCGGCTATGTAAATAGTGCTTCCGCACCGCGAGGTAGCGGGTTGTATGGTATGGTTGTACAACTAACACAACAGCCGGGAGGTGGTTTCCAAAAAGTTGAGCCCATCCACGGAGGCTTTCGTGAACCCACGCCCAGTCAATAGTACCAAAGACATCCCCGGCGCTCTCCTCCATATCGACATCCTCATCCACTACCTCCTCATCCTTGAGGTTTATTCCTAGGGCTTCATCCTTTTTAGGGAACCACAAAGGTGTCGTGAGGGCACCCCCTTGTCTGGGGTTCACCCAAACCACTCCCTCGCCCGCGCTGATGCCATCCCAACCTCCGCGGTCCTCCTCCAACTGCCCAGAAACGATTTTGTACAGCTCCTGCCGCAGCGTAGGCTCGGTGAACCCGGTCCCCCCCCCTTCACGCGCTTCCCCGGCATCAGCACGCCGCGCTCGTCACGCCCCCAGAGCACCCATTGCCGACGCTTCGCCAGGTAGAAACCGTTCAGGCAGGCCTCCCCGATGCCGAGGCCGAGCACCGCGCAGGGCCCCTGCACCGTTACCGAGGCCCCGGCCTGCAGGCCGAGCAGGGTGTGGTGGCAGGGCCGCGCGGCCTGGGGGTTGATGTGCGTCTCGTAGTGCGTCCGCCCAAAGCGTCGGCGCGCTGTTGCAGGAGAACCTGCCCCGGAGAACAGACCTGTGCCTGTGCCTGAAGGTAAACCTGTGTCTGTGACTGAGGCTGAGGCTGGGCCTGTGTTTGTGACTGAAGCTGAGGCTGGGCCTGAGGGTAGACCTGTGCCTGTGCCTGAAGGTAGAGCTGAGGCAGTGCCGGTGCCTGAGGCTGAAGAAGGCCGGGGAGGGGCTCGAGGGGCGCGCTCGAAGATGCCGAAGCCGCCGAGCGGCGTCGCCCGCCCCTTCCCCTGCAGGGAAGGCTCCGACGACCCCTCGCTCGCGCGGCTGTCGGCATCGCCACTCCCCGTCGAGGAGGCGGAAGAGGACGACGACGACGAGCGAAG